AAAAAATTAGAAAATTAGATACAAAAGACAAAAATTATAGGTAAAGCGGAGTGAAACGAAAATGAAGAAAAGAGTTTGAACAACGTATATGAACAACGAATGTAAAATCTTTCCAAAACTGATTTAGTTTTATTAAAATACATTTAAAAAATACAAAATATCAGTCGTCACTATATGCCTTAACACCCCCCCCCCCCAACATTATCTTGAATATACGAGTCTTACAGGATAAAACAAAAGAAATACCACACATTTCTACGAAAAAGGCTGTGTTTTTCTTTTGTGTTTTCCTGTTTTGTTCGTTTTTAGGATAATTGTGAGAGGAACTGGACAATGACCCATCAACTCACTGACCGTCACCAAGAAACAAAGAAATAATACTCAAGGGAATGATGAATGAAGGCATTGATTTATAAAGTGCTAGATTCTTTGAGCCTTGCTTCTTTTCGTGTCAGGAGAAAGAATGCTGATTCTATGAAAGAAAAAAATGATCGAGGAAAGGACGTGACTAAAACACGGAACGCTCGAAAGCCTCTATTGATACCTTTTATTTCCAAAACAAAGATAAAACTTCCACGGGTTTCGACCATATTCACCCAAATATGACGTCATGTATTATTTTGGGCGCGATGTAGTCGAGTCACGTGTTATTCCCTCGGGTAGATAAATCTACGCTTGAAAACTCTTATTCAAAGTGAAACAAAGGATAAAAAAATTATGCGCATAATTTACTAGTATCAAACGGTTGCTGCAAGAACTAAAGCTCCCTTAAGCTAAAGGTTTAACTGTTGAAACTTTTAGCTAAAACTTTGTTTAAAAAGTGTTGGCGGGACAACAATCACGGGGGTGTTAAGCCCCGTTTACACTAGCGATTTTTGCAGCCATTTTTTTGCGATTTTGTCCATAACAAATAATGGTAAAGAATTTACTTGTAAAGTTTTTTTCAGGATACCAAGATTTTCCTAGACGAATGTCTCTTTTGAAGGATGAGACAAATGATTTCATATTTCCGAAAATTGCCACAAAATCGCAGCAAAAATCGCTAGTGTAAACGGGGCTTTTCACAGTGCCTTCGTCCTGCAACTTTCGACACAAGTTTCGGTTGACGGCACGCGTATAATATAACCATGTAAAACTTGTGCAAAAAATTTAGCTAAAAGTTTGAACATGTAAAAAGGACTTAACTTCAAAACAGGCGCGCGAAGTGGCGAAGCCGCATGAGTTAATTGTTGCTGAGTTAGTTGTTGCTGATCAACTTTGTGCTTATTTGTCATCTAACAACATGCATGAACCTCTTCAGTCTGCTTATAAACAA